CGTTTTGTTTTATTAGTTTCTCAGCCTTCTATTATGCCGTAAGAAGAAAGAATTTCTTTTTACGAAGAATTAACTTTAGGATAAAGAATTATTGAAAATAAGCGGTTACTATAAATAAGTTAGCTGCTAAGATAATGGTGCTACAATTTGTTGTCTTAAAATGTTTGAACTGTACGTACACTTAGGATTGGATGTGGTTCTTTTACACTTGTTAAGTGCACTGTTTGATATACTGCTTGATATGTTGAATTACATCTTAGATTCTTTTGGTTGAAATTTTTGAAACGTTATATTGTCAGGTTTTCAGGAAGATGTCTTCTCTTGAAAAGTGTCAGTAAAAAAGATCTTGTTCTTTTTTTTGTGTTTTTGACTTCTTTACAAAACGCTCAATAGACGAACATTTGGCAGGTATAAAAGATCTGTTGAATGTTAAATCAAATTTATAACTGTGAAAAATGATTAATGACAGCTCTAATCATGACTGTATTATTGTTCAATTAATGTTTTAAATTAATTTAGTGGAACAAAATGTGGTTTTTTTCCTTTTTTTTGTTTTCTGTATTTGATTTCAACACCATTGTAGAGCGAAAAAATTATTAGTAATTTTGCACTGTTATTTCATTAACCAACTGTTATCGACGAGTCAGTCAATTTTGATACTTTTATGATATAACAAAAGGTTCGGAAATTGTATTATACTTTGAAAAAATTAATAAGAAAAGTATAAAAATAAAAAATATTACTACTGTTTAACAAAAATTGTATGTGAACAAGCTCTTTTTTTGACACAAACAAAAAAAAATTGATATTATAGGAAGTGTGTTACAAAGAATGTTTCAAAAACTGTAAAAAGAAATCAATATTTGTTCCAATTTTCAGCTGAAACAGTCAGCTACAATTCAAAATGTTTCTCATAAAGTAAATGAAAAAAAAAATGAAGAACAAAAAGAACAAACGGAAACAACACTGATAAATAAGAGTTTATTACCGGATTAATGTTGTAAGCAAATAAAAAATGTACATTGTATCATCTTCATTATTCTTTTCCTTCTTTTCAACATTTCTAGCTGCTGTAGACGAACAAATAATGCTTTCAAATCGTGCAAATCTACAGAAATTAAGTTATATTAAT